AGAGCTGAGTTCACCCTCCAGAATCAAGAAGAGGGAGGCAAAAGGAGAGTGCAAACCTCTTTGATGAAGAGCAGGTTTGAGAGGTCAGTGTTTCTTTGTACCTTTTCTGTGGCTGTTGCAGGGCAAGATTCGTTGGGAAACGCGAGTGGGGCACTGGCCTTGCTTTGCACAGGGGATGCTTTCAGAAACAGTCTCACTTTTCTTTAGTTCCTGGTTGCTGGAATGCCTTTCACCCAAGTTTGACACAATGCAGCTTTTCTGGCACAGGTCTCTCCCGGATCCTGGGACATGGGATCCAAAGGGCGGGAGAGATACTTGCTTCTCTCTAAAGCTGAAACTCTAGCTTTAAGCACACGCTTGCTCTTAAAACTATGGCAACCTACCCCATCCCCAAAAATGTAAGCGCCTAGCAAATGAGTCCATGTATAGTAATTGGAATAATGCTTGTGAACTTCTGCTTAAAAAGGGCTCAGAAGCAAAGCAAAAATTAACTACTACAAGTCCCACCAGGATAAAATATGTTCCAGGTGTAACAGCATATGTTATTCATAGTTGAAAGCTTCTCATTTAGCAGAAACTGTGAGAAGATAAAAGACGAAGATGTAAGAAGTGTGCCAGTGCATGATGCATCTTAACAGGGGAATATTAATTGAATGAGCATAAGTGACCAGCAAATTAAAGGGGGCTCATGTCTGTGCGTTATAGTAGGGCATGAATGTAATCTGAAATTACTAAGACCAGTCAAACTCCCTGTGGTCCAAAGCAGGAGGAGCATTGTAGTGTAAGTAGGTAGTTGAATATTTTCTGGGGAAATTTTTTTCTGGAGAAAGCTTAGTATTTTATTTCAATTACTTTATTGATAGGGTAGAATGAGATAAAAAGAAGATTCCTGTGCTCCCCAAAGATACCAGCAACTTTTTGTCAACAGAAAACAATGGAAATCAGTGCACAAGCACCAAAAGGGCCCCAAAGGTCAACTTGTCTGAAAACCTTGAGAACTTTAAACTAAAACATAAAGTTACTTTATGTGCCAGAGCCAGCATCCCCTGCAGCCAGGGATGCCTGCCTTGGGGCTGGTGCCCATAGCAAAAGGAGACCAGCAGGACCTGCAGCATGACTTGGTCATGGACCATAGGGGAAGTGGAAGCTGGAGATGCCCAAACAACAATGCCCTCTGAGTACTAGAGTAACATTTCTGAATCATGCATAGAGGTATAATGATTTAAGGAAAAGAACATTGAGTGGCTGCAGGTTATGTGATTTCCTCTTCCAGTGTTTATTTTCCTCAGTAAGCACATAAAGTCTGGCAGCTGCAGTTTATGTTATTAGCATCCCTTGTAGCATATTAACCAAGGTTAACAATTCTTGTAAATAAGGATACTTTTCAGAGTTTTACAGAGCACAAGGTGCCCTGCACTGAAATAGTCTTGGTTTCTGTGTCCTAGATAGTGAGAGTATCAAGCTGAGTTTGCTTTTTCACCGGGTTCAAGCCTTACCTGGGAGGATATAGCAGACCAGATGTAGCTCACAGGCAAGCTGTGGTCTGGCCACTCATGCACACTGGCGGTGCCTACTGCCTCATGGTGGACTCATATAGGTGGAGGTGCAGGAGACACAGAGTTGAGCTGTGCTGTCACACATCCCACCCTCACCTCCACTGGCCTCTAAGGGACCAGCTTTATCCCACAACCTACCTGCAGGAGGGACTATCTGAGGGAGAGAAGAAAGAAGGGGGACTGCAATCCATAACCCAGAGAATTCTTTTAGCATTTAGCAGAGCAAAATCCATTTTTAATGGAGGAACAGTTCTCCTGTTGCCTGGATCCATGGCTGGGCTGTGTGCATTTTATAGCTGTCTGGAAACAGTACAAATGCTCAGAGACTGTTCTGTTGCCAGATGCTTCCTCGACTGAGATGCTCAGACAGCAAGAGGACAAAAGACCTGAAATATTTAAAGCTGGTCATTTAAGCCTTATGTGCATGATAGCATGTCATATGGGCTTGTGCTCAGAACCACTTTCAGACCTCGTTAGAGCTAAGGTGATCAGATTGTTTAAATGAAAGGCAGGGCTGCAGAGACAGAAATTTCCCATCCCTTTGGCATTAGGCACCCAGCACACAGCGCCTGGGCTGGCAGGACTCAGCTGTCCCTGTCTCCACCTTCAGCAACACTAGCTCTGACTGCCCTGATGCACTGAAAACATCTCCCTCTCTCAGCTTTCTCCCTGAAGTCAATGTGCAGCTAGGGACTGCAGTACAAACCACACCTGATTTGCCCTCTGAAATTAGGGCATGGATGTTAAATCACCACTACTCCCACTAGAGACAAGGGATTTCAATAACTAACTACAACAGGGGCACTCAACAAGACTCAGTCTGATCCCACTGTTTGCTTAAAGAGGAAGAAGGGGCATGCCAGATGGAAGGGCCATTTCAAAAGCAGCAGAAAGATCTCAGAATCTGCCCCCTTTTGCCAAAAAGGCAAAGACTTGGGAAGCTGAGGCTGAGAAGGATGACATTTCGATGATCTGGATCCGGCAGCCTAATCTATCTAGCTATCATCCTCTCTTTCTAACACTTTCTGTTTTCTATTAGGAAAAATAACACAGTTTTGGTCTTCTGGATAGGTCAAGAGGGAAAGAAAGGCTAAACATTGAGAATTTAATCATTTTACTCTACAGTGGCGTAAATGTCCCACTCACTGATGGGTGGCAAGCTGCAAGTTAGAGATTAAAAGCAATTCATTTGAGAAGAAAAAAAAATCTGGTTCAACTCTACAACAAATACAAGTACAGAGATATCTGCATTTCTTTGAGTCTGGCACAAAATGAGCTGAGTTATTTTCAGCTCCTGTAATCAGTTCTTCTGCATAGTAAAAATCCTGTCTCTGTGTTTGTAAATGTGTAACTGCAGGCAACGCAGACGTGCTGGGCATGGTTAAAGGCTGTGTATCCATCCCTGGAACTTTCTAAGCAGCTGGTGTTAAGCTGTGCTCAGGTTTCATCAGGTCCTGTCTGGCCTGAGCTAACATTTCTGGCCTCCCAAGCTGTGATGTAAAGTAGCTTTGCGCAATGTCACTGCAGATGTGTGGAAAGGGCCCCCCTGTGGAAAGGGCATAAGTCCACCAGCACTCACACTGCACTGCTCCAGGGGGAGGAGGAATCACAAGGAGCCTGTCTGCGGGGGTCGGCGTCAGAGGGGCAACACACACTGGGACAGAGGCAAGTAAGCACATTTACTGGATTTACCTCCAATGTCAATTTTTCAACTCAAATTTTTGTGCTTTTCTGAAAGGCTCTGGGCAGACTTCTTTAGGGAAATGAGCCACACTGGGTTTCCACAGCTGCTGTTTAGTGTAAGTGCTGGCAGTGGGAACTGCCCCTCTTCTTTCTGCTCATGAGAAAAGAGCTGACATCTGGAAGCCATAGAAAAGTAACCTCTAGGCTCCTAATGACACAGCCTGACCAGGTGACACAGAGTCATTTTCCTTGCTGCTAGAGGAAGAATTAAGAAATGCTTCCAAGAATTGCATGGTGGAGGAAACAGAGTAGGAAGTGCAGTGCCTCTGGTTTGTGGCTTTGGGGTTTGTTTTCCTGCACTGTCCCAATCTGGTAAGTGCAGAAAGCAGACAAGAAACACACGATGGCTCTGCACAGAAATCCCAGTGGGAAACCAAGCTGTTGGATAGGAGCTTACAGCCTGGGAATGCAGATGTGCATGTTAGCAGGCATATGTACATAGCAAGGTATGCCTAATTACCAAGCATCTGGGCATCTTGGTTTTCGTATTTGCAAGAGAGTGGTGATATTGCAAAGCACAGAATTACTAGGCATGAAAACACTTGGGAATCCCTCAGTGAAGTGAATGCAGTTATAAATCAGGCTGTATTGAAACCCAGACTCTTCCAACCTGTGTAAAGTAATGTGTTGGTGGGACAGACATTGGCCTGCATTTTCACAAAAGGCTCAGGCTACCATAATTACCTGACAGATTGGTGTGACTCAAAAAATCTTAGAAAAAGAAGGCAGAGAGCAGAGCTTGGTTACTGGCAAGGCTGTTAGCACTTTACCCAGACAGAGTACTCTCTCTGCAGAGACTGGAGAGGGCAAAAGAGGGTGAACAGAGTTACAATCAACAAGAAATGACTAGTAGAATAAAAATATAGCTCTGAATAACAGTGTGTTGGCTAATGATACACCAGCAACATCCACACCAAGTAAATTTCTCTCCTCATCATAAAAAAAGCAAGAGCAGCAGGTGGTCTTTTACCACAGGAGAAGGCTGCCTGGACAGTAGGGTAAAATTCAGCTGACCCCTTCTCACTCTGTATTTGGATAAAGAAGGTACTATGAAAATGGTTTCAGTCTTACCACATTTGTATAAGGAAGCCTTGAGCATTTTTGCCTAGAAGCTAGAAGGAATGCTTGCACCAGGCTATGAAAACACAAAATGCTCTGCTAGTGCCAAGTATTGTGCTGACTAAACATACAAAGCAGAATCGTTCAGTAGTTGGACCTTAAGAGACCTGGCTCCCAAACCCCCTTCCTGCATAACAGCTGTCAAATCGCTTAGCCCATCCTGGTGTCAGCAAGATTTAGTGCAGCAGTTTGCAGAGACAGCTCTGATCAGGTCCCAGGAGCAGTGTACTTACATTACTATAATGTTTGGCCAGAATTAGTACACTCTGGTTTGCAAGCCTAACTCCCAGCACGCACAACCACACTGGTTCCCATGCTAACCGGTTAGGGTACTGCAGCAGGTAATGGAGTCAAAGCTGTGCTTAGAATTTCCCCACCTGCTGCCATTGAACTGATGGCCTTCTCACCCTGGGCTTTTTGTGGGACAGAGTAGGATCAACCAGCACTAAAACCTCTGTAACCCCAATGCAGCACTAGCACCTCACCCTCTCAGTAAGAGAAAATGTATTTACAACAGGCTGATCAGGCTTCTTTCCTCCCCACTCTCACTTTCAGCAGACACCGTGGAAGCAATTTTTCATCATGAAGCTGGCAGCAAACCTTCTCTGTCTCTTGGTGTGCCTCACCGCAGTGACTTGTGACCGGGTCTATGTCCACCCTTTCAATTTGTTTTCTTTCAACAAGAGTACCTGTGAGGAGCTGGAAAGCCTAGCCCAGGAGGGAAAGAAAACTTTTGTCCCCATCTCGATTGAGTCTCAAGCCACACCTGCCTATGAAGATGACCTGAATGACAAAGACAAGCTGGAAGCCCCAAGCCTGAGTGGCCGTGGGAGGCAGAAACTGAGCTACCTGAAGGACTTTGTGTATGTCCTGGGCATGAGGTTTTACAGCGAGCTGCGGGGAGCACGGCAGGGCCAAAATGTGCTCCTGTCCCCAACCAGTCTTTACGGCTCCTTGGTGTCGTTCTACCTGGGCGCCTCAAACCAGACAGCAGCAGATTTACAGGGTTTGCTGGGGTTTGTTCCTCCCTCTGGAGACCCTGACTGCACTTCCAGGGTGGATGGACACAAAGTGCTTTCCAGCCTGAGGACAATCGAAAGCCTCATCAAGAGCCAGGAGGAGGGGCTGCTCTTTTCCAAGGCGCTCTGCCTGTTCTCTGCTCCTGGCCTACCTCTATACCAAGCATTTGTGCAGGACTTGGTCCCCTCCACTGATGTCCTCTACGCCAGAGCTGTTGACTTTACAAACCCAGGCGAGGCAGCAAAACAAATAAATGCCTTCGTGGAGGCCAAAAGCGAGGGCCAAAGCAGGCACTTACTGACAGACACAGATCCATCCACTGACCTGCTCTTCGCGATGGACGTCCGCTTGGCAGGTATGAGGTGGCACTGCTGATTTTTTAGGACAGCTTGCATACTGGTGACTCTATTTCAGAAAACTTGCAGTGAGCTGTAGTTTCCAGGCTGGCATCTGTTGCTGAAGATGGAGCTTTGGTGCCCATGAAATACTTTTGAGACTTCATTTTCCCACCTGTAAACTGGGTATCAGGGTTTTTTTGCCTTTCATGACTGCTGTTATTGACTGATCCCAGCTCCTCAGGGACCTGTGAGCATCAGCTTTCTCTTCAGTGAGATGTCTAGCATAGAGATGATGCAAAATACTTCTCGTGTAACAGACTTGGGCATGGTCACAAGAGCTGAGTTTTCCTTTAGCATAATTTTTTTCCCCTCTTCTTCTCTATTGGAAACTTGTAATTTTGTTAGCTAAGGAACACTTGCTCAAGGGGCCAAGTCACTGGGTCAGTTCTATTGCCTCCTCTCTCTCAGAAGGGTACACGAGATCTTATAGTCTCCACACATGGGATGGAGAAAATTGGCTAAAGAACAAATTAGTTAGATAAGCAACTATCTTCTAATAAACACAAGAGATTCCTTTAGCATTTGCTTCGCCTTTCGGTTGTGGAGGGGTAACCATGACAGCTGATGCTGTCACGGTCCATGTCTGTCCCTATAGCTTTAGAAAGGCAAAAGTACATTTTTTGTGGTCTGAAACATTACACGTGCTCCTGAGATGCTATCAACAGACATAGGATTGACAAAACCCACAGAAATCCAGATAAAACAACAGCGAAATGTTCCAATGTTCTCAATCACTGTTTGCTTCCATACAGTTGATTTTACATTTGTAGACTTCTGCCAAGCATGGACTGCCTGTTAGGATCCAATGCAGAACATCAGGTGCATACTGTATTGATAGACTCTGCTTGTTTTGTTTTGGTTTTATTTTTTGTAAGTTGCAAAATAATTACAAACTAGAGAATTAAAATAGCACCATATGACCGCATTATCTTAGGTGCCCTTACCTTGTCCAATTTAAACTCTTTTGACCAGACAACACTCAACAAGGTCAGTTTTAACTGGAAATGTGGTAGGATGCTTTTTGCAGTTTGGGTTTTTTTTAAAAGTAAAAACTCATAGCCAACTGGGAGCCACATGGCAGGCTGTGAGGAAGCAGGCAACCAAGTAAGCAGCAATACAGTGCCTAGGAAAGGTCACAAAGCCAGCAGAAATATAGCAGCTGTGGCAACAGTATGGTTGTGGTCCCTGAGCTGTGAGCCCGCACCAGCTTCTGCCTGATGCCACCAGAAGGCATATGAAAGGCAGGATACATATGTTTACAGGAGTTAAACATGACGTTATACACACAGCCCTTGCCTAATGCCCAGTGTGTTGGTTTTAGAAACATATATATACTGGCAAAGAGAAGAATCAATTTCTCTTTTCTCAACCTGTTTTTCAGTGAATGTGAAGCAAGCCTCCCAGCTCAAAGAGCCTCAGGAGTTCTGGGTGGATTCGAACACGAAGGTCTTGGTCCCTATGTTGTCACTCACAGGAACATTCAAGTACAAAACTGATGCCAGTGGGACTTTTTCTGTGGTGGAAGTGCCCATCAGCAAGACTGCACTTCTGGTGCTGCTGCAGCCCATGGATGGCAGCACCCTGGAGCAGGTGGAATCCCAGCTGCCGTTGCAGTCCTCGTCCTGGCTTCAGCAGCTCTCCCCAAGGTAGAGCCTGGGCACATGCACCCTCCTGTAAGGATGCAGGAGGCCAGGTGCACAGTGCAGGCCTGCTGGCTGGTGGGGGTCAGGTCCTGCCAGGGAAGGCTTCACACCCAGCACAAGGAGAAACACCTGCAAGCCCCAGGGGCCTCATTCCAAGCGAGCTCAACTTCAATGGGATCAGCTTATTATTTGGGGGTGTTACAAAGAAATAAGAAAGTGCCTTTCCACAGCTGGCCACACAGGACCCATGAAGTGGGATGATCTGGGGTTTAACAGTATTCTTGGGGCAGATTTAGGGCAACGTCCCACTTGGAAACAGTAACACGACACCCATCAGCCCTTGGTACTTGTCCTTCACATACTAAGTGCTTCTTGTGGCTGTTTTCACATGCGCATTTCCAAGGACTGCCCCAACAACTTGCTCTCAGAGAGGAGAGCATGCTCTCACTTCTCTCTCTCTCTTTTCTGCAGAGAAATTAAATTAACGCTGCCGGAATTAACAGTAGAAGACAGCTCTGATCTACAGGAGCTTCTTGCAGATATGGAACTGCCTACACTACTGGGGAAGGGGGCAGATCTCAGTCAAATAAGTGACTCAGATCTAACAGTTGGAAAGGTACAGTACACATCGCTGGCATCTAAAAACTATGCCTCCTGCTCAGTTTCAGCCTCTTTAACTGTACAAATTTACTTAGCACAAACCAGTCAGAGGAATGTGGGACACATCCTAGTAGGGGACTTCCCAGATGACTGAATGATAGCATATACTTTCTAGATTAACCCATCAGCAGTTCTGCTTTGAACTATCCAAATGTCAAAATTGAATTAGCACAGCAGCAAATACAATGTGCAACAAAGATGAAGTTTAAGGTCTGAACATGCAAGGTACTCAGAGCACAAATTAGACTGCATTTAAAAGACTTCAGCAGGACCTTATAGTGACCTTCCAGTACCTGAAAGGCTGGGAAAGACCTGTTCACAAGACCATGTAATGACAGGACAAGGGGTAATGGTTTTAAGCTAGAGAAGGGTAGATTTATGTTGGGTAGATTTATGTTTAGGAAAAAGTTCTTTGATAAGAGGGTGGTGGATCACTGGAATGGGTTGCCGAGAGAGCTGGTGGAGGCCCCATCCCTGGAGACATTAAAGATCAGGCTTAATGGGGCTTTGAGCCATCTGTTGAGTGTTACATGTCCCTGCTTATTGTCGGGGAGTTGGACAAGATGGCCTTTAGAGGTCCCTTCCAATCCAAGACATTCTGACGATTCTATGATTTGTTACCACCTCCAGCTGAAACACTTCCAGGCACTGCAGCTGGAGTGAGTAGTAGAGGCTGCAGCTACTGGGCTGTTGAGGATAATCCTCCATGGCTTTGGGACTGCTCCCAGAAATGACAAACAGAGGTGAATGCAGCACACAACCTTACTTGAAAACAGGCTTCAGCATTCATGTCCCAAGCTTGAAAGAGATGGCTGTCTTTCATAAAAAGAAGGCATAATATATTCCAGAAGTATAATTAGAGTGCCTTTACTTCTATTGAATTTTATTTTTACAAAGTGTCCTACCTTGGAAGCTCTATCAGGGGCTTCAAAGGGTACCAGGATTTCATACAGCCCAAATGTACAAGCAGTTGTAGAGCTTTTTCACGTTAAGGAACAAGTACAATGTCCATGGAGTCTATCCTGTGCTGCTTACAGCTCACCTAGGTTAATTATTCCTTCACGTGCTAGAAAGCACTTAAACCATCATTTGTCTCTTCATTATGTTTTGATGACTCTGGGTTTACTCATATGTTTTGCCCTACAGGTAATAAATAAAGCCTTTTTCAAACTGACCAGTGATGGAACAGATCAGAAAGATGACCCAACAGCACAGAAGGAAGACTTGGTGTTCCTGGAAGTAACATTGAACAAGCCCTTCCTTTTAGCTGTTTTTGAAGAGAAGTCACAGGCAATGCTTTTCCTTGGCAGAGTAACCAACCCACTGCATAGCGTTTAAATGCAAGCACAAGGGATAGGGAGAGAATGGTGTATTGGAATGATGTATATTTCCCATCACCCTTTGTCTTATTCACCAGCCATTTTTGTTATCTTGTTGAGTGCTCTACTTTATTGTGAGATGAAGCAGATAGTGTTTGAAATTTAGCTTTTTGAAAGCTAAAGCATCACAGCAATTTCATCCTTGTGCATCCATTTCACACGAGGTGACTCAAACTCTTCCTCCAGCTTCTCTCCTTATTCCCACTTTGTCCCCCTTCTGCCCCCAGCTCCCTTTCTCAGTGCAGTGGGGATAAAGTAGTAGCCAGCAGGGCATTGAATTAAAAAAAAAAAAAAAGTTCTAGGAGCATGAACAGCATTTACTATAGAAAGGCAAAGAAATGAAGAGGTCCTTTTCTAAAGAGGCCACCCCCTAATTTTTTGTTTGGTCAGTTTTGCAAGAGAGACCCCATTTTACATTACGGTGAACATTTTACAGTTATCCACAGAGATCTTCTAGCTTCACCAGCAATATTTTTCTTTAAAATGCTGCCAACAGCATGGGCAAGCTTACTTATCTCACTGAGACAAGAATTTTTTGCCTTGGAAGCAAAAAAACCCCAAACATGTAGAAGAAGTTTCTTCTTTCTGCAGCCCAGATGGATATGTTTATTTCTTAACTCCATGGAAAAGCTAAAAATAGGGTTTGGTAGCATTAGTGGATAAATTCTCTCAGCCTTACAGAATTATTATTTTATTTTTAGAAGAAAAAAAGAAGGCCTGCCATTCCAATACAATTCCATTCCTTGGAATACTTTCTAACCTGAGAGGCATTTATTACAGCCTTCTAGTGAAAAAGAACATTACTGGTTAGAACCCAGATCTGTAAATTTTAACATATCCAAACCATATGTTCTTAAAAAAATAGCACTAGCATAAACAGTGGATGTGCTGCTACACATGAATAAAAAGGTCTCAGTGCTCCAATCCAACTCTCAACAGAGTCACATTAAACTGGACCAACGGATTGTTAGGAAATGACTGCAGACCTCAGTCAGATGTGTCCTTCAGTGCACAGTAGCTCCTTGTCATCCACAGAGGCCCAACTGCCTGTCTAATCCACACCCACTAATGCCAGTGGTTTGCTATGGGTGATGTAGAGATGTGACAGATCCTTCTGGCTTAATGGAAAAGACTAATAAATAACACAACTCACTTGTGAGGACACTAGGATTTCAAGTGCTGTGATACAGGATCCACACATTTATCCAAATATACCGTATGTATTCCAGATGGTCTAACATCTAGATACTGTACTTGTATTGTATACAGAAACCATTAACCATAAATGTGAAGAGATGGAAAGATACAAATAAAACCACTTCCAAGTTGCTTTGCCAACAGTTCATCTGGGCTTATGTTCATAACTGCATCCCTTGTTCTGGCTTTTGATATTTGCTCCAGGTCTTTAAGACAGTAAATCACAAATTTTCATGCAATACAACCAAAGATATAGCTGTAAACTGGAAAGAGGCAGCTTCCAAGTGTTCATACTAATTTAAAGTTATCCCATTTACTACTAAAGTTAGAAGGTAGCATCAGCCACAAATAAAATTTCAGACCACAAAATATTCCATTTCTATAATTAAGAAATTAATGGAAGCCCCTGGCCATGCCAGGGACAAAATGCCATTACTCCCAGGTGGGGGCTGCATGCTCTTGCAGGACTCCATATCCTGTTCAGTGGTTATAAGCAGAAAACCAGAGCCCAGCACCCAGAAAACCACACTTTTCAGAAAAGAAATGTTGTGCTGGAGATCACCTCTCCACTGACACCCTGGAGAAGGAAAGGAAGGAAAGAAGAAAGAAAGGGCTAAGACAGGGAACTAGAAGTACACTGGCCAGAGTAAGGACTGAGAAGAGAGAGGTACTGGAGCAAGTGTCATGGTACCAAAAACATAAGCTATTTGTTCATGCACCCATTCTCCTAGATATTCAAATGGTAAAAAACCCAAAACCAAAAGTAAACAAAGAAACAAACCACCCAAAACCCCCCCAAACAAATCTGTTTTCCAACTATATATACTCTCCTGAGATTTGTTTCTGACATGAGTTTTACAACTAAAATTTTTATGGCATTTTATACTCTTCACTCTGGTCTCCTTCAGTTCCACCAAATTCCTCTGCAAGGCACACAGAGGTGCACATGCCAAGCATCCTAAGCATCACTCACACATGGAGCTCTCAGCTGCAGTCAACAGCTCAACAGTCTAGTGAATGAAGGACCTAAAATCATGCCCTGACAGATGGGAGATTTGGAGAAAGAAAACAAAGACAAGTTTTTAAAGTTTCATCAAAACAACACAGTTTATCCCTGAGCAGAGCTGATAATTATGCTGGTAAGCTTAAAAAAATTACAAAATTCAGACAGTTTGCTTCCTCATCCCTCCAGTTCAAGCATGAAAGTATAATTGCTAATGGGTAAATCAGAGTCAATATAGCTCAAGTGGTCCAGCCAAATGTACATATTGATAGTTATCTTTAGGTGATAAAACTGTCTGGTCCATGGCTGATATAACCCACAAACTTGAGAATCCAATTACCATTTTAGAGGAAAACATCACCACTCTTT